GCTTGTGCAAAGTTATTGCGGAATGATTAATGTGAAACCTCAAAAGTTATTTCTTAGATTTGGTTGACTATAAACCAATATATATCCGAAGACACACAACTTGTAGATGTACACACATTGATATATTGCACAGCTTTAGTCATTTCTGAAGAACTTAATTATAAAATAACAGAATACGCAGACAGCACAAGACCAAGAATTATAAACAAACCATCATGGCAACAGAGACTCGAAAGAGATATAGCTGACTGCGGTAGACTAACACAATATATCAACAATAACAGATCTAACAAAGTAGTCAAAAGAGTCGAGGCAATATTTAAGAACATGGCCAGGCATAAGAGACATGAAAACGACAATAGAAAACCTGAAGAATTTTTAGACACTTTAAAACAGAAGCTCGCGCTAAAAGTCCATAGGCTGAGGCGGACAAGAAGGCACAAGAACGCAAAAATGATAACATCATGTTTGCTACTAACGAAAAAAACTTTTACAGAAATTTACAGAAACCACAAATAGACGTAACAACCGACACCAACACCTAACTACCAACATCAGAACAATTGGAGACATTCTGGTCAAGCATATGGGAAGAGCAAGTGCAGCATAATGATAAAGCTGGTTGGATAGCAGTAACAGACATAATTTTAGGACAACAAAATATACCTGAATTTATTGCAACAGGAATAACTTACATGTTACCAAAGTCTCCACACTCCCCACAACCGTCCCAATACAGACCAATTACTTGCCTACCGACAAATACAAGATCCTAACCTCAGCAATCACAGCTAAAATCAATAAACACATAGAACGCCACAACATAATAGCAGAAGAACAAAAAGGGTGCAGACGAGGCCACATGGGGTGCAAAGAACAATTAATTATAGATTCAATAGTCCACAAACATGCCACCACAAAAAATAGAAAACTTCATTGTACCTACATAGACTACAAAAAAGCTTTTGATAGTATTCCACACTCCTGGTTAATTCAAGTATTACGTATACACAAAATAAACTTCTTACATCATATCATGTCCCGATGGAAAACTACACTCCAATTGAATTACCACGACAACATCGTAAGAACTCGACAGATATTTATTAGGAAATGTATTTATCAAGGTGACTCCCTGAGTCCTCTATGGTTCTGTCTCGCACTGAACCCTCTGTCTCACCTACTGCATCAGTGCCAAGCCGGATATAGACTCAAACACAACACCGCAGATGATATCACTATCTCACAACTCATATATATGGATGACATTAAATTATACTCAAAAACAGAAAAAGAAATGAAAAAATTAATAGATACTACAACAGAATTTAGTAAAGACATCAACATTCAGTTTGGACTAGATAAATGCAGAACACTACACATAATAAGAGGCAAAATAAAACCAGGCGATTACACAATTAACACTACTGATACAATCACAGCTATGGAACCGACAGATCTATATAAATATTTAGGATACAGACAGCTCAAAGGACTATATATCATACAGCAATTAAACACACACTGAATACAGAATACGAACGGAGAGTAAACGCAGTATGCAAAACACATTTCGCTGGAAAACATCTTATTAAAGCATTAAATACGTACGCGATCCCAATATTAACCAACTCGTTTGGAATGATTAAATGGACTAAAACTGACATACAGCAAATAGAAAGAACCACACGCACCACACTTACCAAACACAATAATTTGCACCCTAAATCCGCAATAGAAAGACTCACAATCAAACGACAAAATGGAGGGAGAGTCCTAATAGACATTCAATACCTTTGGCAGAAACAAATTAGTAACCTCAAAAGATTCTTTCACAATAATTCTCGAACTAGTGACATTCATAAATTACACTCCACTTAACCTAAATGAACACACAGACACACAACACAATAACACTAATAACCCACAAAAACAAAAGTTAGAGGACTGGAAAAAGAAAGTCCTGCACGGATGACACGCACATGACCTGGAACAACCACATGTAGATACAGTAGCACCAAATAAATGGCTTAAAATTGGCAACCTATTCCCGGAAACTGAAGGGTTTATCATCGCAATACAAGACCAGATCATCAACACTCACACAACAGTAACCAACGATAAATGCCGCAAGTGCTTCACCCAACCAGAGACAATACAACATATAACAGGAGCATGTACAACTCTTACACATACAGACTACACTCACAGACACAACCAAGTAGCAAACATCATTCATCAAAAACTAGCACTCAAACATAAACTTATACAAGACAAAAACACGCCCTACTACAAATACACTCCACAAACTATTTTAGAAAATCCTACACACAAACTTTACTACGACCGCGCCATACTTACCGACAGAGCCATTCAATATAATAGACCAGACATAAACACTACAGGACAAAGTAAGTAAAATCACCTACCTAATAGATATTGCAATACCCAACACACATAACTTACAAAAAACAATAGGTGAGAAAATAAGCAAATATGCAGAGCTTAAAGAAGAAGTGACCAGAATTTGGACACAAAATAAAGTTTATATAGTACCCATAGTCGTCTCCACCACGGGTGTCATACCCAACCATCTCCACCATAGCTTCAAATTAATAGATCTGAAAGACTCAACGTACATTATACTCCAAAAAGCCGCAATTTTAAATACCTGTCGAATTGTAAGAAAATTCATGCAATTGGAAGAAAATGAAATAGCTACCCATAACACCCCACCTACATAAATACTCACTACACGCTGCATTTACTTGCCTTCGGGCCGTGTATGCAGTCAGAACTAGCCAAAGAGCTAAGAAACAGAAATGTTTTCCCTATAATAATAATAATAATAATAAGATAAAACTATATAGATACCCCACAATAATAATAATAATAATAAGGATGGCACCGTCGACGTCTGTCGCGCTTGTCGCCATCCCGGTGAATCACAAGACCCGGCAGTGCAGACAATTTCCGACCGGGAGACCGTATGGAAGGAGAAGGAGCTCCACGGGAGGTTCTACAAGTCTCTACATGGGCCTTTCGTAGACACAGTAACCTCTCTCCACTGGCTACGCTTTGGTGACCTCTTCGGGGAAACCGAGGGTTTTGTCTGTGCAATACAGGATCAGGTTATTAAGACCAACAACTATCGGAGATACATCCTAAAGGATGGCACCATCGACATCTGTCGAGCTTGTCGCCATCCCGGTGAGTCACTTAGGCATGTCATCTCCGGTTGTTCGGCGCTTTCTAACTCTGAGTACTTGCACAGGCACAACCTAGTAGCCAGAATTCTACACCAGGAGCTCGCTCTGAAATACGGTTTCGTGGATCGGAAGTTGCCGTATTACAAGTACTTGCCGGAAGCCGTGCTCGAAAATGATCGCGCCAGGCTCTATTGGGACCGGGCCATCATCAAGACAGGACTATTCTTGCGAATAAGCCTGATATTGTGCTGATGGACCGGGCACAAACAAGGATATTTTTGGTCGACATTACCATTCCGTATGACGAGAACCTTGTGAAAGCCGAAACAGTAAGCAAACAAAATATCTGGACCTGGCTCACGAGGTGACCGACATGTGGGGTGGTCTGCCGACCGAAATTATTCCTGTAGTCGTCTCTGCAAACGGGCTAATCCCAGTCAGCCTCTCGGGTCATCTGAGGCGGCTGGGACTACGTGGCGGACCGCTCCAGGCTCAAATGCAGAAGGCGGTGCTCCTCGATATCGTCCGCCGGTTTCTTTCCCTTTCCCCCTAACCCTCGGCCGTTTGGTCTCCCCTGCCGAGGGCTTCCATCTGGTTGGGCTTTTATTTATTTATGTATTTTCGTATTTATTTTATTTTATTGATATTTTTGTATATTTGTCTTTTCATTTTCGTTTATAATTATATATTTATACATCCCAACCAGATGAGAAAACTATATAGATACCCCACACAGATAAAACTATATAGATACCCCACAATAATAATAATAATAATAAGGATGGCACCGTCGACGTCTGTCGCGCTTGTCGCCATCCCGGTGAATCACTTAGGCATGTCATCTCCGGTTGTTCGGCGCTTTCTAACTCTGAGTACTTGCACAGGCACAACCTAGTAGCCAGAATTCTACACCAGGAGCTTGCTCTGAAATACGGTCTCGTGAACCGGAAATTGCCATATTACAAGTACTTGCCGGAAGCCGTGCTCGAAAATGACCGCGCCAGGCTCTACTGGGACCGGGCCATCATCACAGACAGGACTATTCTTGCGAATAATCCTGATATTGTGCTGATGGACCGGGCACAGTCAAGGATATTTTTATAGATACCCATAACAATAATAATAAATGCTTGATGCATTGCTTTTTTGCTGAGCTGGAGCCTTCTATCCCCGTCACGGAACAAAACCTGGCAGACCGAGTTCGGTACATAATGTGCTCGAAAATATTTGCTGATGCCAAACTCGAACGACTACGACGTGAGGCTATTCCATCGTCGAATGAATCGGCTATGGCTGGAGATGCAGCTCCACATCCGACCAGCCAGACCAGCATCCACACGTGGAAGTCGCCATGGATCTTCCAGTTGTGGTTGATTCGAACGAAGATGAAATAGTCTCCCACGAAATAGAGCAAATAAGGAGTATATTGGAAGAGGCGATTTTGGAAACGCGCAGCACCCCTCTCGAAAATCGACCGCGACTTCCCCGCATACCCCTAAGCAAACGAAATCGGGCTGTCGTGAGGGCTCTTAACGCAATGCTGGTGACCTATTTGGAAGCCAGCCGGGACCTTTGCGAGACGGACTCAATTCTCTTTGGCGCCGCAGTGGCAGTTGCCGTATTATTGGCGCCAAACTTCCCATGGCTGAACGCGCTACTACACAAAGTAGTGCCATCCCAGCCTGGAGAAAAAGAATCGAGGACCGTATCGCAAAGGCAGGGGCCCTTATCGGTAGACTGACAAGCTTCAGGTCGGGTAATAATAGACCGAGGATTGTGCGCACCGTTAGGATGGCGTTTGCTGGGACAAATATCAGTTTGTCCCAGCCGGATATCACGCAGAAACTAACGGAGCGCATAGACGACCTGAAGCAAAAGATCGCTGCTTGGGGGAAGCGGATTCGACGATTTACCGAGAGGTCAAGGCAGTTCAATCATAATCGTCTCTTCCAGAGTGATCAGAAGAGGCTCTATAAATCATTGGAGCGATCAAAGGTATGTGGAGCGGGCCAAGGACCGGATCAGGCTGACATTATCGTATTCTGGCGTGGCCTGTGGTCAGAGCCCGTAAACCACAGCGAGGGCCCTTGGATGGAAGTTGTTGCGAGCCAGGGTGCGAGTGTTACGCCTATGGACCCCATCACCATAACGCCGGAAGACGTGGCTGAGGCGGTCCGTAGATCCCCGAACTGGAAAAGTCCGGGGCTCGACGGGCTGCATCATTTCTGGCTGAAGGGGTTCATAGTGTGTCACGCTGTGCTCGCCCGACAGTTTCAAGAGGCTCTCGACCAGAAGTCGCTCCCGAGCCTCTTAACTACTGGGATCACTCACTTGGTTCCTAAAGATCAGGATACCACAGACCCGAGCAAATACCGCCCCATCACGTGTCTACCCACCATATATAAGACACTGACATCCATTTTGAGCGCGAGAATCACTCGTCACCTGGAGCTAAACCAGTTGATGTCACGCACTCAAAATGGATGTCGGGGCGGTGGTCGTGAAACCAAGGAACCACTCCTCATTGACGCGGTCATAGGCAAAGTGGTGAAACGCAACCGTCGGAACTTCTCTGCCGCCTGGATAGACTACAGAAAGGCGTTCGACTCTGTGCCCCATACATGGCTAAAGAGGGTCCTCGAGCTGTACAAGATTGACTGTACAGTTAGAGACTTCCTCGAGCAGTGTATGGGGCAGTGGAGTACGATCCTTTGTCATCTGGGCGAGCGGATAATGGCTGCGGAGAACCACATAAGGATAAGAAGGGGTATCTTCCAGGGCGATTGTTTGAGTCCAATCTGGTTCTGCCTCTCTCTGAACCCTCTCAGTACCTTACTGTAGGGCTCCGGGAGGGGGATTTCAGCTACGGAAAGGAGGGACAAAAGTGACCCACCTTTTCTATATGGATGACCTCAAGTTATTCGCCTCCAGTCGCTCCCATCTTATGGAACTGCTAAACATCACTTGTGAATTTAGCAATTCCATTGGAATGGAGCTGGGGACGGATAAGTGTGCGGTCCTTCATGTTGAAAGGGGAAGGGTTGCTAACTCTGAGGGCATAGATTTATCTATGCCCGTCAACTTAAAGACCCTTTCCGAGGCTGAAACATACCGATACCTGGGTATGTCACAGAACATCGGTATCGATGAGGCTGGTATGAAACAGTCAGTTTGCGTCGTGTTTTATGCACGCTTGACCAAAGTGCTTAACAGCCTTTTGTCCGGTGTGAATAAGTCACACGCATATAACTGCTGGGTCATGCCTGTCCTCATGTATACCTTTGGCATACTTAGGTGGACTCAGACTGAGCTTAACGCCCTGGATAGAAAAGTCCACACTACCATGATGTCCCATAGGATGCATCATCCGAGATCGTCGGTAATGAGGTTGTACTTGCCGCGAAAGCATGGTGGGCGTGGATTTCTGAGCGCGCTCACCATGCATAATCGCGAAGTGTGCAGTCTCCGTCAATACTTCTTGCCGAGATCGGATGATTCATTCTATAATGACGTCATTTCTAGTGATAAAGGGCTTACCCCTCTATCCTTAGCCAACGAGCAATGGCAGGACCCAGCAGTGCTTAGCATTTCCGACCGGGAGACCGTATGGAAGGAGAAAGAGCTCCACGGGAGGTACTAAAAGGCTCTACATGAGCCCTTCGTAGATACAGTCGCCTCCCTCAACTGGCTACGTTTCAGTGACCTCTTCGGGGAAACCGAGGGTTTTGTCTGTGCAATACAGGATCAGGTTATTAAGACAAATAACTATCGGAGATACATCCTAAAGGATGGCACCGTCGACGTCTGTCGAGCTTTTCGCCATCCCGGGGAGTCACTTAGGCATGTCATCTCCGGTTGTTCGGCGCTTTCTAACTCTGAGTACTTGCACAGGCACAACCTAGTAGCCAGAATTCTACACCAGGAGCTGGCTCTGAAATACGGTCTCGTGGACCGGAAAGTGCCGTATTACAAGTACTTGCCGAAAGCCGTGCTCGAAAATGACCGCGCCAGGCTTTACTGGGACCGGGCCATCATCACAGACAGGACTATTCTTGCGAATAAGCCTGATATTGTGCTGATGGACCGGGCACAGTCAAGGATATTTTTGGTCGACATTACCATTCCGTATGACGAGAACCTTGTGAAAGCCGAAACAGATAAGCGAACAAAATATCTGGACCTGGCTCACGAGGTGACCAACATGTGGGGTGGTCGGCCGACCGAAATTATTCCTGTAGTCGTCTCTGCGAATGGGCTAATCCCAGTCAGCCTTTCGGGTCATCCGAGGTGACTGGGACTCCGTGACGGACCGCTCCGGGCTCAAATGCAGAAGGCAGTGGTCCTCGATACCGCCCGCATCGTCCGTCGGTTTCTTTCCCTTTCCTCCTAACCTTCGGCCGTTTGGTCTCCTCTGCCGAGGGCTTCCATCTGATTGGGCTATTATTTATTTATGTATTTTTTGTATTTATTTTATTTTATTGATATTTATGTATATTTATCTTTTCATTTTAATTTATAATTATATATTTATAGAAACCAACCAGATGAGAAAACTATACAGATACCCCTATAATAATAATAAAAAATTGTAGCCACATATCATGTGCTTCAGAAGGAGATATCTAAGCATACGAAGTATGACCCACCAAACAGAACAGCTGTAGACATCATAGATACTCTTCGACAAAAACTAGCAGTCAAATGCAACCGACTAAAAAGGTACCAAAAATCGCGGAAGAGAAGAGAAGACAACGCTCTTTTTACAAAAAACGAAAAGCTATGCTATCGGCGACTCCAACAGAGCGTTAATGATACGAGTGGACTTCCCCGGCGGAGGGAGGATGTTGAGAAATTCTGGCGTAGCATCTGGTCAGAGAAGGTGATCCACAATGAAACCGCAACATGGATCACAAGAGAAGAACAGCGTATGCTTGAGGTCCCAGAAATGCAACATGTGGAAATTACAGAAGAGGATGTCACTCAAGCGGTGTACAAATCCCCCAACTGGAAAGCCACGGGACCCGATAAGATCCACAATTTTTGGCTTAAGAAGCTGTTCTACACAAATCAATGACGGCGTGCTTTACTTCCTTCCTACGCGACCCCCAACTAGTGCCTTCCTATCTAACCGTTGGAATAACATATCTACTTCCCAAAGATGCAAATACACAGGACCCTGTGAAATACCGTCCGATCACATGCCTCAGCACTTTTTATAAAACATTGACCTCTTGCCTCTCTAACAAGATCTACCAACATCTAGACCATCACTCTCTTCTGGAAACAGAGCAGAAAGGGTGCATTAAGAGATCATTGGGATGCAAAGAACAACTCACGATAGATTCAGTTATCACAGGGCAAGCGTATCAAAAGTCGCGGAAACTCCACATGGCCTACATTGATTACAAGAAAGCTTTCGATTCCGCGCCGCATTCCTGGTTGAGGGAGGTACTCAAACTTTATAAGATCGACCCTGAAGTTATCACTCTATTAGAATATTTTACGACAATTGGGCAACTTCTCTGCATCTGAACTTCTTAATGAAACAGGACATGGATATCTTATAAAAGGGGCTCGAGGATATCACCGAAAGTTGACTCACCTAATGTATATGGACGACATTAAGATCTATGCGGAAAATCAACGAGAGCTCCAAACGCTGCTTCACTGCACTGAACAGTTCTCTAGTGACATTAATATGTCATTTGGACTTGAAAAGTGCAGAACCGTAAATGTTTACCGTAGACGAATTGAGTCATCTAGAGGTTTCGCCTTCAGAGAGGTGGAAAGATCGACGCGATGACAGAAAATGATAACTATCTAGTATAAATATAAATATCTAGGCATCATCCAATCACTTCGAATCAATCACGGTGAAATTAGGTCGAAGATGATTGAAGTATACAATCAAAGACTTAAAAAAATCCTCAGTTCAGGCCTAAATGGACGCAACATCACTAAAGCAATTAACACCATTGCCATCCCAGTATTAACTTACACGTTTGGAGTAGTTAACTGGTCAGATACGCGTCATGCTTACTAAATATCTTATACATCACCCAAAATCAGCCGTTGAACGGGTTATTCTATCTCGAGCCAATGGCGGTGGAGTACTGATAGATATTCGTAGATTGTGTGCTAAACAGATTCAGAGTCTTCAAAGTTATTTCCTTTCGCAAACGTCCTCTAACCTGCATCAAGCAGTAATAAAGGCTGATGACCGTCTAACAACGCTCGATCTCCTTCATGCCGATAATTTCCCACCGTTAGAGACTGACGCTGAATACAAAGAAGCCAAACTCCACTAATGGGCCTCAAAACCTCTTCACGGTCGATTCGCTAATGAACTGAGTCAACCACATGTCGACATTGAAGCGAACAACTGGCTCAGACATGGTGAGATCTTTACTGAAACTGAGAGATTCATGGTGGTGATTCAGGATCAGGTTCTGCCTACGAAAAATTATCTTAAGTACATTGTGAAGACAGGTATCGAAGATGACCAGTGCCGACGGTGTCATAAGCCAGAGACTATCCAGCACATAACTGGCGGCTGCCAGGCTCTTGCTGGAACCGAGTACACCCAGCGCCATGACAACGTGGCAAAAATATTGCACCAAGAGCTGGCACTAAAATACGGTCTCCTTAAGGAGACAGAACCCTACTGGAAATACAATCCATCCCCGGTACTCGAGAATGATTCTGTTCAACTTTATTGGGACAGGTCAGTTTTAACTGACCGGACCGTTGATCATAATCGACCGGACATAATATTAGTAGAAAAGGAGGAGAAGCGGACGTGGTCGGAAAAGTTGATTAAGTACCAGCGGTTAGCTGAAGAAATCCGACAGTTAAGGCGACAGAAGCAGGTACTTATCGTCCCGCTGATTCTCTCTACCACGGGTGTTGTTCCTAAATCCCTTACTGACAATTTAGCTAAGCTGGGCATTTCAGTGAGGGTTAGGAACAAAATTCAAAAAGCCGTAATTTTGGATACGACAGCGATAGTACGTCGCCACCTCACAATTTAAACAAAAGAGCGGCATCTTACGATCAGCCGATGCCGAATCTTAAAACCCTAAAAGGAGCGTTAATACAGATCGTATAAATAATAACAATAAATCATTTTTTTCTCTTCACAAAGGTATATAATTTCACATTATTTCTTAAATAATACGGTTGTAGATAATTTTGACCTTTGTGAGAGACTGGTGTCCATACTAGGGTAATCCCTGTGTTCCAGATCACCAGGCCCTCACTCTAGCGGATAGCACGTATTACATTTTCAAATATACTACAAGAGAAATACAAGAATAAGAAATATTTCAACAAGGAAAGATTCTATATGTTTTTTTAAAGTTATTTCTATATGTGTTATAGTGTGTATGTGTACGCGAGTGCGCGCGCACGCGCGCGCGCGTGTGTGTGTGTGTGTGCACTCATTTGTGTAGGGTTATGTGTTTTTAGGATAATACCCTTAGAAAACTTTCAGCAGCCATATAATCGATATTTAGCAACCACTTCTGTAATTTTTGTTTACATGCATATTTTGGTAGAGAGTAAATTGACAAAAGTTTGTTCAATTTATTATAAAGGTAACCGCCCAGGAAGCAAAATGTTTATGCGAAAATTTTGTCTTTAGAAGCTTACTGGGACAAACTACATATTTCCTTCTTTTGTCGTTATTATAGGAGGACTCAAACTGTATAAGATAATGTTGTAGCAGCGTAGTGTGCAATATAAACAATTTACGAACAGATAAAACAATACAATGTTGATAAAGGTCAGTTGTAGGACAACGGAATGCAAGAGAATTGCTAACTTTTAATAGTGCCCTCTGAGCCCTTTCTAATTGCAATATGGTCATTTTAGGTGCTCCTCCCCAGATGGTAATGCAATATGTCAACAATGATTGGCACAGTGCAAAATATACCATTTTTCCTACATTAAAATCTGCAACACGACGTAGATTTTTAAAAATATAAATTAACTTACGTATCCTTGTTCTTAAGAGGCCAATATGAAGGTGAAAGCTTAGGGTGTTATCTATCATTACGCCAAGATATTTTATGCAATTCGTTCTAGACAGGGTAGGACTGGAGCAAGGGCTTTCAATTTGGGAGCAGCAGTGAGCTGTAATGTGAAAGTATTCTAACGCAGATACATTGATGTTTTGGGTAGTAAATGCTATGTATTTTGTTTTATCGACATTAATGTAAGTTTAGATTCTTTTAGCCATTTAGTTATTAAATCGAACCCATTTTGTACGAAGTTAAATACCTCAGACCATGTATCTGCCTGGAAAAGAAGAGCCGTGTCATCCGCAAAGGCAATGATCCTCCCATTGTGAATTTTTAGATTACATAGTTTATTAATATATGTCAGAAATAGCGTAGGACCAAGCACGCTACCCTGTGACACACCATATGATATGGGAAGGTCATCTCTGTAGCAACCACCAATCCTTACCCTCCGATATCGATCCGTTAAGTAGTCAGAGAAAAGTTTTAGCTGTGTATTTCTTATTCCAAGATCTTCTAGCCTATTTAACAAGAGCGGAACGCAAACTGTGTCAAACGCTTTAGCTAGATCAAGGAATTTAACACTACTTTCTTTTTACGGTCAAGGTTTGTAACAGCGAAATCTGTTAGTTCATGAAATGCATCCTGAGTTGAACGTTTTGGTCGAAAACCATATTGGCAATGTAATAACAGATCATGTTTCTCTAAGTAATTAGTCAAACGCTTGTTGATTACTTTTTCAAGAATTTTTGACATAGTGGGAAGAATGGAAATGGGTCTATAGTTATTGACACAGCCCACATCACCACTCTTCTAAATAGGGTGAATTTCAGCTAGTTTGAAACACTTGGGGAATTTACCAGTTTTAAGGGAAAGGTTACATATATATGTAATGGGAGGAACTAGTAAATGTCTATACCTTTTTAGAAATAAAGTAGAAATATTATCTATACCTACACTACAATCAGATTTCATATTTAAAATAATTGTCTCTATTTCATGTTCGTCGGTGTCAATAAGTACCATGGAGTGTTGATATATGTTTGTAGGAAAAATGCTACGAGTGTTTTTATTAACGTGGTGTTTTTCTGCCAAAGATTTACCTATATTTACAAAAAATAAATTAACATAATTAACTGAAGTTTTAGGATCAGATTTGTTTAATAATATATCGGCATTATTATTTAATTTATTCGTATTTGTGACTGTTTTAATTGTGTTCCAAAGTTTTTTATTGCTTGATTTAACTGCTGTTGTTAATTCTGCTTTTTCATATTCTTTTTTCAATTTTTTAAGTAGTTCATTACAATAATTACGGTAACGTTTGTATGTATGTCATCATGCGGATATTTTTTTACATTTTTGGTGTAATTTGTCGCGATTTCTTAAGCATCTCAAAATAACTGGGGTAATCCAGGGCTTTTTAATAATTTTGCGATTAGAAACTTTAATTGTTTTAGTATTCATTTTAAAGCATAACTTAGGGATTCTAATAGGAATGTAGCTGCTGAGTCAACATCTACCATAGAATAAATACTTTTAAAGTCTAAAGTGAGAAGGTAACTATCTAAATTATCGTAATTTACACGTTCTCTAATTTTTGGCGGCAAACTACGTGTATCTAGAGTAGCCTCTATAGTCCGGCCGCTGAGTTATTACCTTTGACAATACTAGTGAAGTGACTGAACCAGTAACCCTAATATCATTTGGGAACAGTTTGTTTTTAAATATTCTAGTATAGTGTGTAATTAAATAAAATCAAAACAATAATAGTTAAAGACACAGGTTCTTTATTAGGTGGAGTATACTTGATGGGCGTAGATAATTGTTCGAGGACATATCAAAATAAAACAAATTTGTAAACACTGTTACACATTTTAATGAACAGAGTAGGTACAAGATGTTTTAATAAATGACTACCTATCATTTATTAAAACAAGTATTCAGACTCTGAACCAGATTCGCCAGAGCTGTCATCGCTATCAGTCACTTGTATGACAATTTCATTCTCTATAATGGTGTCCACTCTTATATCGCGTTCATAATCTTCTGT